CACTTATTGCGAAATATAAAAATCGTGATTAAAAGACATTTGTAAAACATAGAAAATTTGGTATGTATTTTTCCTGAATTATAATAAAATAAAAATAAAAAAAATTGTCGAAAAAAAAAAAAAAAATTATAGTGATAGAGGGATATAAAAAAAAGAGTTAGCCGATTCTCTATTATCACACTTTAAAAACATATATGTTATATATTTTTGAGTAAAATCAAGTCCTATTTAGTTAAAAAATATTGTCCAATGAAAGTATTTGATAAATATATGGAATCACGATTGCTTTGTTTGCGTTTGCGTACATTTTTATATAGGTTCAACTGTTTTGACTTGTTGTAAAATAAAACGTGCTTCGGTTTCTGTGTTTACAATGAATCTTCAATACAATGTATGCTACATTACACGTTTAGGTTATCAAAAATAACGGATTGTTTTGAATGAAAATGCGCTCAATTGATAGATGACCTTATTGATTGGCCACGTTCTTATTGATTTATTCGAGATTATTTAAAATATATGTGTGTAAAAAAATATGGAATTTACAATTGTCGATATTTTTTTACACAGAGTACGTGTATGAATGTAAAGAACAAAAAAGAAGAAAAGTAATATAAAATCGGTATAAAAATTTATCACCTTTATTGAAAGTAGTTTGTTAGATAGATACATCATGCTACCTTTCTTACAGGGTAGGCAGAGAGAATCAGCCCTCTGTCTTTCTTTGCAACTTATTATTTATGTAGTAATTGAACTGCAGCAACCGTGAACTGTCCACTGATGGACACAGTCTCCCCCATTAGGGGCGGGGGGAGGGGGGGGGGGGGTAGCAATAGTTGTACGCCTGGCAGGCGAGTTGGCAATCGCGGTTTGGCGACTCGAACATAAGCTCTTAGTCGCCTTTTATGACACCTATGGAAATGGAAGGGGTGGCCTATTCTATGCCAGGACCTACATGGCTATGTACCTACCTCTATGTATAGTTAGTAAACTAGTTAATTAACTCCCCTTGATAGGGGAGGCCTATGTTTAGCGGTGGACAGTTAATGGCTGACGTGGTGATAATAATTATAATACCCAGTTAACTCAATGTGAACTATTGTTGTAATTGTTTGTTTTTGTAATAAATAAGTTTACAGCAGTAAACTTTTGGAGGAAAAAATAGATATGTATTTCTTAATTATATGTATATATATTGTTATTTTTTTTAATAAATAAATTCTCTTGAGACACCACTATAAAATTTGTTCAAACATGTTCAAGCAGTTTAAAGCTGGTTTAATTTCTGTTTGTACATTTAGGGTTATCTTTATGTATCAATAATGACCTAGAGCTATTTAATATATTTATTTCTTCAGTAAGGTCAATGAAAATAGGGTATAAATTTTACTTTTAAGATTTCTTTGAATAATAAATAATCAAGTTATAAAATAAACTGATTTGGTATTTTCGAATTTTTTTATGCAACTTAGAATAGCAAACAAGTTGACAGCCTTAATGGAAAACAGTAACAGTCGCCTATAAACATGAATAGTAAGTACCATGGACATAACAGAGTACACTGTCTCGCCCATGATACCCTTCAAAACAAATTTATCATTCTGTCCATAAAAATAGAGTTGTTATAACTAACGTTTTTTTCATAGTACTATTATTGTTTTTTTTTTTTTTTTATTTGACAAATGTATCCAATAAAAGTCTTATCATAAATTTTTCAAAATTTATTGAACCTTCACGTTGAATGAAATATTTCGCTTCATACGTTTTGCTTTTAATTTTAATTTTATATTTTCCTTCACTTCAAAGATTTGAATAACAACGATAAAAGCTTACGGTCGTCTATCAAAAGTCCATTACATTAAAACGTTGTGTGATGTGACGCGTCTGTTTGTCTGTATGTCATTTGTAAATGTCCGCAAGGCGCCACCTGTCAATCCCATTGGAACGGGCACCCGCGCCTGTGAAATCTCTGACGAATTGTTTAAACATGAAATAAATTGAGAGCGAGTTACAAGTGACGTGTGTAATAAATATTTTAATTAAATATATTTTCGCTTAAATCGTTTTAATAACCGAGATAGAATTAAACTCGCAAATGACGTAATAGTTGCTAATCTTATTTTTTATAACACAAGGGGCGAACGAGCATGCGGCTCACCTGATGGTTTTTTTATGCAACTTAGAATAGCAAACAAGCTGCAGGCCCACTTAATAGAAAGTGGTAACCGTCACCTATAGACATGAGTAGTATCATGGACATAATAGAGTATACTGTTTTGTCATTGATAACCCCCATGCATTGCCATTCCTGAGGATTCGGGTGTTATTACAGTAAATTCACGCCATATCCCACCCTTCAAACCGAACCACAGCCATGCAAACACAACTGCTTCACGGTTGAAACACGAATGGCACAGAGGTGCCCAAGCAAACGATTTTTGTACAAAGTCTCCTTCTGGTAGATGATGGTAAGTGACTACCTTCGCCCATGATCACCCACTACACCAGAGGCATTGCAAGTGTGCTGCCGGCCTTTTAAAACGGAGTATGCTCTTTTCTTGAAGGCTACGATGTCGTATCGGTTTGGAAATACTGCTGCTGGAAGTTGATTCCAAAGGGTGGTTGTGCGTGGAAGAAAGTGCCTGTAGATATGGATATGGCGTGAATTTACTGGGTACAGAGGAATAACACTTTCCATGGCAACGCATGGTGGGTATCATGGTCGAAACAGCTATATTATGTCCATGGTACTGTTGTACATGGACATTCAAAAAAAAAAGCTTGTTTGCCATTCTAAGTTGTTTTTTTTTTATTGTTAGAGAGGCAAAAGTAAACCATTTGACTGCCCACCTGTTAGGAAGCAGTTGCCGTTGTACATGATAACTTGTGATATAATGGAGGTAGTTGGTACGTAGCTGGCCTTCTTCTTCCATCCGAATCTTCTTTTCATTCAAAAGTTGCTTGGAAGAGAATATTTTTTGAAATAATGCCGTCAATTGTTTTTCTCTGTGATACATTTATTGGAGAGGGATATTTTTTTAGTGGATGATATTGGAATGGAGTCCTCCACTCGCGCTAACGATATACACTGGCAGGACACCAGTGAGGAATGAAAGGTGAGGATGAAAGAAGGTCTGTTAGCTCATTGTGATGAATTCACTTGGAACTGGACACGATGATTTCTAGAGGGGATTATGGGGAGGTCCACCTGGTTGGGTACATTGCTAGCAATGGGGCTCTTAATCTTCATTACTAACAATCCCTTCCCCCTACCCACTTTGGAGAGGGAGGGGGGTGTCCAACAGACAGTCGTCTGGATTTATTTAATGGGTGAAATAAATAGGATACATTAGATTTATTGCTAGTCATCTGGTTGCTTTTTTTAATAGATGATAATGGAATGGTAACCCCACCTGCGCTGACGGTATATGTTAGCGGGACACCAATGAGGGATGATAGGTGTGAATAAAAAAGCAGGTCTGTTGAAAAATGAAAACACCTGGATTTTAGCACGATGGTTTCCAGAGGGACCACGTGGAGGTCTACCCGACGTATATTGCAAGCAATGTGACTGATAAACCGCTTTATTAACAATCCCTTTCACCCTGCAATGCAGCCTCATTGCGGGGGGGGGGGCATACCTATTAATTCCTTTCGCTCCAAAAATCATCTGGTACTCAGTCCACGATCAGGAGCAGAGCTTTCAGCAACAGGCAAAAACATGTCCAAGTGCACCTTATCTAACTGGTACACTGGGTACTGTATGTATGTTTGTATATGATAGTGTCTATATAATAAAGCGCCACCGACCCTTTGTCTTTTTCTCAATGTCCTCTACCCAAGAGTTGTCTGGAAGAGATTGCCTTTTGTCTCACTTCTCATTAATATTTACTGTATTTATTATTTTTATTAAACGGTTTTATTTAGCTCGACCTGTACGGTATTTATTTATTTGGGTCAAAATTAGAAATTGGAATTTAAGCACCTTCCCGTTGTCAGATTGATCTGAAATTTGGTACACACATTTAATTTAGATGACAATACAATATAATAAAATCAATAACATTATAAATCTAAGATGGCCACCGATACAAAATGGCGGATTACATATTTTTCCTTAACCCCCGCAATATGGGTATCAAATGAAAGGGCTACACTAGTAAAACATGATGATTATATCAAAATTTAAAATTCAAGATGGACGCCGTTCCAATATGGCGGACTAGGTACATATTTTTTCACAACCACCACAATATGGGTATCAAATAATAGGACTATACTGAGACACCCAGACACTAGACACTCGGACACTAGACACTCAGACGCTAGACCCTCAGACACTAGACACTCAGACACCCAGACCCTAGACACACAGACACTAGACACTCGGATACAAGACACTCAGAAACTAGACACTCGGACACTAGACACTCAGACACTAGACACTCGACACTCGACACTCGACACTCAGACACTAAACACCAGACACTAGACACTCAGACACTCGACACTCAGACACTAGACACTAGACACTCGACACTCGACACTAGACACTCGACACTCGACACTCGACATTCGACACTCGACACTCGACACTCGACACTCGACACTCGACACTCGACACTCAGACACTAAACACTAGACACTAGTCACTAGGCACTCAGACACTCGACACTCAGACACTAGACACTCGACACTCGACACTCGACACTCGACACTCAGATACTAAACACTAGACACTAGACACTCCGACACTCGGATACAAGACACTCAGACACTTTTTTTTTTTTTTTTTTTTTTCCAGTTGGAGGTAGTTGCGCGAACACTATTCAAAACTGCTCCAAGTTAAATTTTGCTTTAAAAATAGATTAAGACCTCAAAATTGTAACTTTATGAAATTATCTAAGCTATAAATAACACACTTCACTTGCCGGAAAAAAACTTTCGCTTTTACTTCTACTATAATTACAAGAATGCCGATGGAAAACCTGAGCTTACAAGAAACCAGAGAGGAATTCTCCAAAAGGATGCAGGAGTTCGAGGGACGACTACAGAAGGCAACCCTTTCGAGCCCCGGGGCAGCGAACATCGCTTCTGACTTCGCTGTCTTTAAACAGATGACACTGGAGAGTCTGCAGTCTTTGCAACACCAAGTTGACTTGCTGGCTAAGGAAGTTGATTTGCAGGAAATGCGTAGCCGACGGAAAATTTTGTTGCTTCATGGCGTCTCAGAGAGTGATCAAGAGGACGTCGTCTCGTTGGTATGTGGTGTTGTTGGTGATCAAATGAAATTGGAGTTTTCAACGGAACATATTAGCCGGTGTCACAGGATGGGACGTATAACAACTAGTAAGAAAGCACGTCCACTTTTGGTGAAATTTCGTGATATCAATATTCGCGACAGGATCTGGTCCAATAAAACAAAATTGAAAGGCACCAATATTTCCTTATCTGAGTTTTTGACAAAAACTAGGCATGATACATTTATAGCGGCCAGACAACGCTTTGGTGTCAGAAAGTGTTAGACGCGTGATGGGTTCATTCACGTCCTCGGATCCGGCGGAGTGCGGCACCGTATCAGTAGCATGGCTGAACTGGGTAGGATTGTGGTACCAGAACCCCAAAAACCAGTTCCAGTTGCGGCAAAAACAGATATCGGCGTCAGCAGAACGAAACGAGTTCAAGCAACCAGGAAATAAGTGTTAATAAGAGATATTTCATTTTTGCGGGTCGGTGAGTGAGTTTGTAGTCCTTACATTAATAGCATTACCCATTTTTTTTTATTTTTATTTATTTCAATCAAATAATCAGTAATCATATAATAATCAGTAATCATATACTTTTACCCACTATTTACTATTAATAATTAAGCAGTGATGGCACAGACTTATAAAAAAAAAGGGGGTACCCCGTGATTTAAATTTTTAAACAAGGTAAGTTGATTATCTTATTCTACCTTACATATTCTGAATCTATAAATGTCAATTGTCAGCTATCAGATAATATCTTATTATCTTAGATATATAACTTTACAATTTATGCACAGATAATATATTGTGAAACTCGTAAAAAATTGTATAGTCTGTCTTTAAATTTTGAATAGATAAATCGCTTATTTACATTTACTTATTTATGCTCATTATTATATCGGCACAGACGATATCGATATTGATTGACAAGCTTAGAAGGAAATGCCGAGTACTATATATATGTTTATGTATGTGTGTGTATATGTATGTATGTGTGTGTGTATGTATGTGTGTGTGTATATATATATATGTATATGTATATATGTATATGTGTGTATGTGTATATATGTGTATGTATGTATATATATGTGTGTGTGTGTGTGTGTATGTATATATGTGTATGTATGTATGTATATATATATATATATATGTGTGTGTGTGTGTGTGTATATATGTATATATATTTTAATTTTTAATTATTAACTATGTAATAGTATGAAGAATGCCGTTATTTTTTTTTATACTGTATGTATGTATGTGTATATGTATGTGTATGTATGTGTGTATGTGTATGCATGTATGTGTGTGTGTATGTATATATATATATATATGTATATATGTGTGTGTGTATGTGTATATATATAGATATTGGTTTTATTTTTCATTTTATAGTACTCTTATAATAATTATTATTTCTAACCTATAAATCGAATCGTCCACGCAAATACAGCTGTAGCTGTTATAATTTATTTTCTGTCCGTTTCTCTAAGTTATAGTTGCTAAAAATGTGATTGTACAGTTACTATATTATTGTTACTTTCTTTTATTTTATTAATTTTTTCTTAATTTTTAAACGGATAGATACCCCTAAGTATTGACGGACTCACTCACCGAATCTAGGTACAGGTCATTAAGTGAAATTGTAATTATTAGTTTTCTTTCCTAACAACCGGCAGGTGGAGTACTAATGTACTTGACGTACTCATAATATTCACAATATTTTAAATTTTGTATATATCTATATATATATATATATATATTTTTATTATATTTATTGTATTTATATTTTTGTATTATATACTATTTTTTAGGATTTTTTTTTTAAAGTATGCTCAATCTGTTTTGCAGTAGTGACGCGGACTCGGATAATGATGACTACTTCTCTGTTTCTACACACGATTCATCCTGTAACACCAACAACAGTTTCTCCAGTTTGCCATGTCTATCGGATTCTTTGGCTGGGCTGTTCACATAGCTAACAATTTCAACATTATCCACATTAACGCCCAAAGTATTCCGGCACATTACTCTGATACGATTACTACTCTTGATCAACACAACATCCACGCTATATTAGTCTCCGAATCTTGGTTAAAACCATGCCTCTCTTCTACTTCTTATTCCCTCCCGGGGTTTCAACTTATTCGAAATGATCGAACTAGCAGTGGTGGTGGTGGTGTAGCTATTTACCTTCGTACTCAATTTACTTACTCTGTGGTCAATATATCTGCACAGCCACCTCCAAACAATGCTGGTGAACATCTTTTTATTGAAGTCTCCCTCTCCCATACAAAATTACTACTCGGAGTCTACTATAGTCCTTCCATGCGCATTGATTATTTCTCGTCCTTTGAAAAAATTCTTGAAAATCTTACTCCTTCCTATAATCACACAATCATAATGGGCGATTTTAATACTTGTCTCCCAAAGAATGATACACGTGCTTCCACTCTTATTTCAACTGTAAAAGCTTGCAATTTAAATATACTCCCGTTATCTGCGACACACCATTTTCCCAATGCTACACCTTCACTTCTCGATTTAATTATAATCTCATCCCCACAAAATGTTGTGAAGCATGGTCAGTGTGCAGCGGACTCCTTTTCTTATCATGATTTGATTTATCTATCTTACAAAATTCGTCCCCCAAATGCAAAACGCAAAACTCTTTTCCAGCGTAGTTTTGGCAGTATGAACGTGGAGGGACTGCGCAATGATGCGAAAGCAATAGATTGGACACCTGTTAGAGAGGCAATGTCCGTGGATGAACAGGTTGTACAATTTAACAAATTGATTACTCAATTATACGATGTGCATGCACCCATCAAAGCTATCAAAATTAAGCACGCACCTGCTCCATGGATTAATGATAAAATTAGGACATTGATGCATGGAAGGGATGCCGCAAAAGCTCGTTACAAGTATCGTCCCAGTGTTGAAAATAAGGCTAAGTATCTCAAACATCGGAATCGCTGCAATAGAGTGTGTAGGGATGCACAACGACGCTACATTCATGACTCGATCTCAGAGCGTGATCCCGGTAAAGTTTGGAAATTTCTCAAGTCATTAGGAGTTGGCAAGATCCATCAGGATAGCATATCTTCTAATTTAGATGTTAACTCTCTTAACCAGCACTTTTCAACATCTCCTGTTATTGATGTTAATAATAAAACTAAAACATTATCAGATCTTTCCTCGCTTCCAACTCCAGACTATTCACCATTTGTTTTTAATCAATTTACAGAGTGTGACGTTAAGAAGAGCATTATTTCTATAACGTCTGATGCAGTAGGTAGCGATTGCATCAGTCGTAAGATGATCATTCCGATTCTTGATGAAATATTGTCTATAATTTGCTTTATCCTAAACCGCTCCATTGAAACTTGTACCTTTCCAAAGTGTTGGAAAGAAGCACAAATTCTCCCCATTCCAAAAAAGAACAATCCTCATTCTTTCTCTGATTTGCGACCTATCTCAATCCTACCATTCCTTTCTAAAGTGCTTGAACGCCTTATTCATACTCAATTGACAAAATTTTTTACTGAAAACAACCTATTGAACCCTTATCAGTCTGGCTACCGACCCGGTCATAGCACAGTAACAGCACTAGTCAAGATTACTGATGATATTCGATCGGGTATGGAACACGGCCAACTGACCATTCTCACGCTCCTAGATTTTAGCAATGCGTTCAATACCGTCGACTTTGATATCCTGCTGGAACTGTTACGCTCTCTTAACGTATCTCCGCCTGTAGTTGAATGGATTCGTGACTACTTGTTTGGACGCCGGCAGCGAGTACGAATAGGTGATACATATTCATCTTGGTGCGATACGTTTGCTGGCGTTCCGCAAGGTGGCGTCTTGTCTCCTCTCCTTTTTTCAGTTCTTATTGACTCAATATCTGACCAACTAACTTCTCTCTACCATCTATATGCAGACGATTTACAAATTTATACTCAGGCCTCTATAGATAATTTAAAGGATGCTATCGCTTTAACAAACAAGGATCTTAAACATATAAGTGATTGGAGTAAGGCTTTTGGACTGAAAATAAATCCTTCCAAGTCTCAGGCAGTTCTAGTAGGTAGTTCTAAGTTAATACAAAAGGTCGATCATTCAACACTGGCACCTATAAATTTTGGTAATGTGGCTATCCCCTTCAGTGCATCAGTGAAAGATCTAGGTATAATTATAGATAGTTCCCTTACTTGGCGGCCACAAATAGAATCTGTCAGCAGGAAAGTTTTCGGATCTGTATGCTCACTTCGTAGACTGCGTAATTTCCTTCCTACTGCTACCAAAATTGCGCTATATATATTCTTGATTATGCCGATACTTGTTATCTGGATCTTACGGAAGACCAGCTTAACAAACTTGAGCGTCTTCAAAATGTTTTTATCAGGTTTATTTTCGGTCTTAGAAAATATGATCACATTTCCGAGTTTCGCACTAAGCTCAAGTGGCTTCCTATTCGTTTTCGCCGGAATACTCATATTCTTTCACTGCTCCACAATGCCCTTTTCAACTCTTCTTCCCCTCACTATCTGAAGGAGCGGTTTGAATTCTTGCATACCGTCAATTCTTTTAATCTTAGGTCTTCTGAGGGCCTTCAGCTGAAGATTCCGGTACATTTCTCTAATTTTTATGACAAATCATTTACGGTGCAAGCTGTACGGCTTTGGAATGCTTTACCAGTTTCCTTATGAAATATAAAATGTACGGCTGGTTTTAAAGCAAAACTGAAGAACTATTATTTGAGCAAGTTGTCATCTTCTTAATATGTTTATATGTCTGGTTAGCATACTTATTACTTGCATACTTTTCGTGAACAGTATTTATATATTTTTATGTATTTGTGTAGGCGTTTATGTCCATGTATGTATATGTATTTGTATGTGTATGGTATGTATATGTATATATATGTATATATGTGTATATGTATATATATATATATATATATATATATATATATGTGTGTGTATATATATATATATATATATATATATTTATATTATTATATGTATCACATCTCCCATATTTAGAACTAACAAAATTTTTCATCGTGCCTCCCACCAAACTGTTTATAATTACTCCTCTCCATCCAAAGGTTGCCTGGAAGAGATCGCTCTTAGCGATAAGGTCGCCCATTGTTTTCTCATTGTGATTATTTCTTGTAATTATTTATATTTATAATAAGTTTACTATTGTAATCTTTTGGAGGAAACAATAAAGAGTATCTATCTATCTATCTATCAGACACTAGACTCACAGACACTTGACACTCAGACACCCAGACACTAGACACTCAGACACTAGACACTCGACACTAGACACTCGAAACTCGACACTCGACACTCGACATTTGACACTCGACACTCGACACTCGACACTCGACACTCGACAGTCGACAGTCGACAGTCGACACTCGACACTCGACACTCGACACTCGACACTCGACACTCGACACTCGACACTCGACACTCGACACTCGACACTCGACACTTAGACACTCAGACACCCAGACACTCAGACACTAGACACTCGGATACAAGACACTCAGACACTAGACTCTCAGACATTTGACACTCAGACACCCAGACGTTAGACACTCAGACACTAGACACTCGACACTCGACATTCGACACTTGACACTCGACGCTTGACACTCGACACTTAGACACTAGACACTCAGACACCCAGACACTAGACACTCAGACACTAGTCACTCGGATACAAGACAAGACACTAGACTCTCAGACACTTGACACTCAGACACCCAGACACTAGACACTCTGACACTAGACACTCGACACTCGACACTCGACACTCGACACTTGACACTCGACACTCGACACTCGACACTCAGACACTAGACACTCAGACACTCGACACT